TTGAGTAATAACCATTGTGTCAACCACAGGTCTTGAGTTCAAGATGCTTTAAGAAGGGTTTACTTTGATACAAAACAAAAGGTAAAACACACAAACTAAAGATAGGTTTTATTCATTGAGTGAGATAAGGGGTAGGTTGACTATCTAGTCTCAAAAGGGTCTCATATCTGTCAGGTGATGATCTTTATAAAGACAGTGTGGGGGTGTTGCAAGGAACAATTAAGGTACGTATGCCCACCATTACCAAACAGACACTCAGATACAAGTTGGGTGTTTCATGTATCTGAACTCTGATTAATAGTCATAGTGTAGATTGCTAATTTCGCGCCTAGCTTAGAAGCTTGTGTGTGTTTTCCAAAAATTAAAGTATGTGATGCATAAGACAATTCTATACAATGCAGAAACATATATGTATAAAAATTAAAGCATGTAAGAAAATAAATAAAATAAGCTTATTAACAGAAAACACATAAATCAAACAAAACACAATTATCAGACAAACAAAGCTTAGTCCACAAGGTCCTTAACGAATTCGTCATTCTGTCGCACATGTGCGGCGTCGTGGCGAAAAACATCCACCCTCAATATCTAATCTAGAAAATATTGGGAGACAAAGAATTCTTGTCTTTTATATGTGAAAAATAGGAATGAGAGTCGTCACCTAATATTTTGGTCACTAGGAACTCTAACTAATATCATAGATCAGGTATGGGGACTTATTGCATAAAGAAAAGGTATTAACACCCTAAATATGCCCTATCTAAGGTAGACTATATTGTTTAATTGTCTAGTAAAATCTAAGGTATTGTCGTGTTTTCTAATTGATAGTCTGTCAGTGGTTTAAGAAAAGTTCTTCTCAGTAAGGAGATCCTTATCTTATTGGTAAAATCTAACCGTTCTAATGTCAATAAAATAATTTAATATCCAGAATATATCATACATATAAAGTCATAATTTCAGATATTAAAACAAAATAAAATAATTTTTTTGAAATTTTCAAAATATTGACCTAGTTATCGTGACTTTAATAAACTGGTTTATTAAAGCTAAAATGCATGCTAATACATATTTTTGAACTTTTCTTTGTTATATGAAAATACAATATGATTTTTTTCTTTTATTTTTGAGAGACTTGGTCGTATGCATAAAAATATATTTTTTTCAATGTTTTGACAAAAACCGGGCATCTTAATACCGGATTTGTATTTTTACAAAATATAAATATAAATCAATATTAATCAAAATTCAATAGGGAAATGCGCTGAAAAATCAAAAAATTTCTGAAATGTTTTTTTTATATATTTTTTTAAAATTGGGCCGGAATCGGCCCAACTATTTTGACGTGGGCCGGCCAGGCCCGGCTATGAGAGCTGTGCTAGAATTGGCCCGACCATGAACAGTGGCTCTCCACTATTCTCATGCTGCGTGAACAGTAGAGAGTGAATTATAATTAACTCTCAACGGTTCTTTAGCCAAACAGCGGACACTAAGGTAAAGAAGAAAAAGAAAAGGAAAGGGAAGAGGAAAAGGAGGAAGGTTGACCTATTGATGCTCACGGTGATGCTGGTGATAGTGGAGAGCAAGCCGACGGTGGTTTATGGTGGTGGGTAGTGTTAGTTGTAATTTTTCTTCTTTTTCCCCATATAGAGGAACCAGCCTCTGTTTTCTTTTTTCCTTCCTTGTCTGCTGCTGTTTGGTTCTTCTCCTTTTGGTCTCTAGTGGGGGCAGAACTGCTGGTGGCTTTCAGATGATGTGGTGGAGGTTGCTAACTGTTAGAGTTGTTATGGGGATGACGATGGTTTTTCTTCTCTCCCCTGCTTTGTTGTGCTGTTTTTTTCCTTTGTTTTTTTTTTGTTCCCTCTATCAACAATGTTATTCCCTCTCTGCAGCGACTTCATGGAGGTGCTGGTGGCGGCGACCTAGGGAGCTGATTCTAGTCGGTTGACAGTTCTTTTTCCTCTTCTCTATGTGTTTTTCTACTATCTTTCTCCTCTCTATTTCTGTTTTCTTTCCCTTGCCTTTGTTTGGTTGCTTCGCTCTACTGTGAGATGGTTGTAATGGCTGACCTCCTCTTTTATGTTCCTTCTGCTTCTTTTTTATTTTTTGGTCTGTGTTTTGTTCATCTGTCAAAACTTCTCCCCTGTTTTCTTTTTAATTTTTCCCCTTATCTGTCTTGTGTCTCCTTTCTCTTTTACTCCCCTCCCTTTTTCTTTCGAATTGTTCCTTCTCTCTCTTACCCTTTTCTATCTTCTCCTCTTCCTTACACTCTCCATATGTCCTCTTTTTTTTTTTGTTTTCTCCTCACTGTCTCGTTCTCCCTCTAGTGTTTCTGCCCCCTTTCTATTTCATCATCTTTCTCTAGCTTTTATAAGCCAAAGAATGTCCTATAGTGCAACGTTCAACTTGTTAATAGAATATAAAGGAATAGTAGCCATGAAACATTCCCCGTAACTAAAGCAGTTTGCTGTTTTTGTTGCTGAAATGACTCCACTATTTGTTGAAACTGCTTTGAAGAAAGGTGATGAAATATTCCTCTAAAACGACACCGTCTTTTTATGAAAATGGATATTTCTAATTTGGTCCTCGGATATTTTTACAATTTTATAATCAAGTCCCTTAGATAAATTGTAATTGGATACCTTAATTTTAGTGTCTTTTCTGGTTTGGCTTTTGGTTTCGGATTATTTCAATCAAGTCTCTAATTTACCATCAAACTTCAATAATTATGCAATTAAGCCCTTGATTTGATGAAATCAACTCTTTAAAATTGTAATTGTATCCCAGAATTTTAATTTCATCCAATAAAAGCATAAATTGACTTAAAAATATATTTTTCTTGTAATCAAACCCTTCATAAATTCAATTATATCTTAGATAAAATTTAATTGAGTCCATAAACATCTGATTTTAGATTTTTTTCTCAAATTAAATTTTTCTTATCAATAAAGCTCTTATCAGTTAAAAATATACTATCAAATTTCACTTTTTTGGATTTTTGAACCTCTTCAACTAATTTTGATCTTTTTTCCGCATTCTCGCATCATCCTATTATTTTTTTGGATTTCTTTCTAATATTTTTTTAATATATATATATTGTATTTTTGTTTTATGGAAATCTAAAAATAGATAACAACACGTACACGTAGATGGATTAAAACTATCACCGTTTTTAACTATCTTGTACACGAGCTTATTGTTATTGGGCATGGCTTGTACCTCTTCGGGACAGGCCTTGGATTGTAAATGTAAAGCTGGCAAGTAGCAGTTTTAGCCATGTCCCTTCCTTCATGGTTAGTCATGATTTCTAATAGCACATATTTGAAAATGGGTCATTTCAGCTTTATAATTGTGCAAGCATTCATGCGTGGGCATCTTTTGCTCGTTTGTGTGCTGGCTTCTTGTCCAAGTTTCTTTGTCAACTGGTTGTGTTCTATCTAAAACCTTGTTAATGGTCTGCTTGTGTAGCTTATATCTGCAACTGACCGCCATAGATCATCAACAGATCATCCTATCAAGTTCATTTCTAGGAGGCACACACACACCCTGAAATTTAAGACTAAGCCAGGTATGTTTCTTCACCTTAAAGGAGCTTACAGGGCAAAATGACCATATGCAACAGATAATGGGAGTTAGTGCAGGTGAAACATCAAGTGGTTGTTGTTAATTTCCAGCACGATTTTTTTATGGTCACCACTGAATCCACCTATTTGTGTCGTTCCAGAACTCACCGATTGTTGAATCTTCAAGTTGTTGTTGTTGTTTTTTCATTAAGGTCCTGAAGCTGGAAGTTTAGATGGTCGAACAAAAAAAGGTCTCTTCATTCCTGTTCCATCCTTTTTTACCCCTTGCTCTTTCCATTCAGCAGGCACTGTTCTTGCAACCATCAGTGAATATTCACTTTCGAGGGTGAAAAGATCTCTCTTATCTTGGATGTCAAATTCCCACTTGTAAGCAGCCTCTTGGTAGTTTTCGGGAAGAAAATTACAAGAAAAAAGCATACAAAGTGACATTTTTGTTAAGGTTGCAGTATCTGCCAGGGTGAATGAAAAGTCTAAAACAGGGTAATGTTAATTTAATTGTAAGATATATCCATTTATTTTAAATTAAAATAAGTTAATTTAATTGTCAGAAATTGTCTATAAGAAAAAGACAACTTTGACATGGTTTTTATAACTCAGAAAACTTCTGTCTGTCTAAAATTTCAAAATTTCTTTGCTCTTTTTTTACATGGCATGACATATAACTTTTTTTGGTTCGCTGTCTTTTTTTAATTATGCTGTTAAGAATAAAATATTAAAAAATAATATTAAAATCACACGAATAGCATCATAAAGAAAATAATGTTTAAGATTAGTGGATTGACCCTTGTCTTAATCTAGTTCTTCAAATTTATTTGATGTTAATAAGTATTGTTAGTTATTTTATTTTTATATGCTGATATGTATTTATGAGACGAGATAATACCAAGTGACATTTATGTTTTTTAAAGTGGTTTTTTTCAAATATATCCTTTATTTAAAATATAATTACAAATAAGTCCAAGTATATTAAACAATTTTTCGCTTCTAAATTAACCATAGCTTATTGTTCACCATACGAGGCAAGTTAAACTACTTTTTTTGGCATGCTTCTGTCCTTATTTAAATTAAACATGCACATTTTGTCTGTCTCCTGTCATTGACAATACTATATATAAACCCTAAGCAAAGTGATAAAAAACAAAAACAAAAAAATAAAAGAAGAAGAAGAAGCTCAAAATGATCATAACTCATGATCCGGAAGGAATTATTGGGTCTCTAAGATAAGATGTTGACAGAAAATTCAAAATTCTTTTCTTTTAGCATTGGAAAGGAATTATCTTTCTATAAGAAACTATTAAATATGAAGAAACGTTGAAGTCATAATTACTAATATAGAAATAAATATAAGAAAAATATGATTCTCTCATCCTCTTGTTTTTCTTTCTCAAAATTTAAAGTATCAAAATCTTATTTATTTGTGTGTTTTTTTCTTTCAATATATATAAAAACAAAGCAAGAGAGCAGACAGAAAACGGGCCAAAACCAAAATTGTAACAAGTAGGGAGTCCTATATATAGGGCGAGGGGTGCTTGGTAAGTGATCGAGTGAAGGAAGTTATGGCGACGGCAACGGCTACTATAGCTGCAACAGCTGCTAAGCTTATAAAAGGCGGGGGAAGTCCACAAATGCTCCTTTCCTCATCCAAATTGGCTTTCGCCTTTTCATGCTGCCCCATTATTATTCATGAGAAGAAGAAACCCACAAATAATATTCCACTGCTAATTTCATTTTCAGCAGCAAAGCATAATTACCATCTCCACCGTTCATTTCGCACCACTGCAAATGTGAATGCGGATGCCATCTCTACATCAGATTCAGAACCACAATCAGGAGGAGGAGGAGGAGACGCTAGCAGTGATGATGCTGGTACTTGTATGAATAAAATAAAAGATGCAGGGAACCTGCTCGACATAAGGGTCGGGCGCATAATCAAAGCGTGGAGGCATGAGGAGGCTGATTCCCTCTATGTGGAACAAGTGGATGTAGGTGAGGCAGAGCCTCGAATCATCTGTAGCGGTCTAGTTAAATACATCCCCCTGGACCACCTGCAGCATAGAGATGTGGCGGTGCTTGCTAATCTGAAGCCCAGGAACATGCGGGGTGTAAAGTCAAATGGAATGTTAATGGCTGCTTCTGATGCCTCCCATGAGAATGTTGAGCTTCTTCACCCACCTGATGGTTCAATCCCCGGAGATAGGATCTGGTTTGGATCCCCTGATGATCAAACTAACCTTCCCGGTCCTGCCTCTCCCAATCAGGTAAATGGGTTGTTTTTCTTTCTTCCTCGACCTGCATTCAACAATCACATCATGAATATACCCATGAATATATCTATCTGTTGCCTCATGCATGCAGATACAAAAGAAAAAGATTTGGGAATCGGTGCAGCCTCATCTAAAAACTGATGATTCTTGCATGGCAATCCTTGGAGGGGAGCATTTTATGCGGACATCTGCTGGGGTTGTTGCATCCAAATCTCTGAACAATGCCAACATCTCTTGAGAGGAGAAGATTAGTTAATTATTCGTGTTGTTGTTGTTTTCTTTTCAAGTACTTTATGCTACATACTAATGCTTGATATTTTCATCGCCCTTTTCCTCTCACTGAGAAGGAATAGGGCACGTTTTGTTTTTAGCTCGCTCCTTCGTGTGCACCCTACAAGCTAAGCCTCTCAAGAGTGTTTGCATTGCTTGTCTTGTCTGCCGCTAATTATATCACCCTAAGCTTCCATTTATTATTTCGCCTTTGAGCCGTGGTGCATCGTCCCTCACTTGAGCACCTCAAACCTTGCCACTTTCCTTAGTTTGTTCAGGTGTATTGGCTGTATCTATATATGCCCTGTGGAAGGCACCAGCTCACATTAAGAAAAGACATGTCGAGTGCCTTGAGCAGGAGAGCGGTTGGTTGATTGATTAACCAAGGGGTGCCTTGTGTACTGAAACTCTTTATCAATCAAGAGGTCACCACTTGATTTTCTTTTGCAATCAATTGTGTTCATTTTTTTCAGAATAATACCTTTACGATCAACCAAAATTGCAAGCCTCTGGTGGAGGATCCTGCAATGCAATAAGCTACGCAAAAGAAGAATCACTAGATGCATTGGACTGAATCGAATCTGCACACGCGCTTAGGGTGGTGATGTTGATGGCCCGAACTACAATTTTTTTTCCCTGTTGTTTGCCCTTAACCCCGACCCTGCTACTAAGCTAGTTATTTCTCAAGCGAAGTTCTTCGGCTAACTTAAAAAATGAAGAACATGAAGCCGGCCGATTGAGGTCAATTGCAAAGTGAAGGACCATGATATGGAGATCATGACACCTTAAAAAAAAAGAGGCACGCAGCTCAATTGAAAAGTTCAAGAAAAAGAGGCAATCATATTTTCTTTAAGCTTAGAATTAGTTGCCACTCCAAATACAAATTTGCAGCATATAATGGAGAGGGGAGTAGCAAGATCCCAATGAATTATTATTACATTTCAATACGGAAATAATTTCAAAAATAATGTATGCCATAAGAAGATTAAAGCTGGGATTCAACTTAGGATAAAGCACCATTTTTTGGGGACTTGGATACTCTTAGCAAATGCAGGGGCTGCAAGGGGCCCCTAGCATCATAAATCCGCAAAGACAGCAAAAATGTCCCCATGGATGTAATCATTATCTACCAAGCTCACCAAAAAGTAGCTGCTCTGCACCTGCAAAAATTTAACATTGTATCGTCAGTGAAGCTGATGCCGCCTTCAACAAATGAAATGTGCATGCATGACTATATATAACATATGCACACAAGATTTGTATTTAGTGCATATTTGATATTGTTCAAAAGTATTTTTCGCTTGAAAACATATCAATATGATTTTTTTTTCAGAATTTTTTCTTTTTTTTGATATCATTACATCAAAACCATTCGGATGCTTTTTCACGCCAAACACCCCTAAATGCAGTTGCAAACGCAATGTTAAGAAGGGTGTTACCTCTTCAAGTAGCGTTCTGGATGGGTCACCCTCTGGGTACAAGGAAGCCCATCCTCTTGACCAGATTTCAAATGCCTCATCCTTCCACACACTGAAGCTGGTGGGTTCCACAACAGTTGGTTGGATAATCTCCTTTGCGGGGAAGACTCCCCAGGTTACAGCATTCACATCAGTCAGGGCAACATTAGAGATCCAACTCCCTCCTTTGTTCACAGCAATGTAAGTTACAAAAGGGAAAGACTTGCACTTGTCAACAAGAGCATTCAGCTTGTCCTTGGAGCAGAAAAACTCTAGATAAGCCTTCTGATATACATAACCTCCTGGCCCACCCCAACCTGCAGGACATATATGGCATGGGTTAGTCAAGTCAGAGAAGTCATATGCGCCTTCCATAATCATGCTAAAGCAAATGATATGAGGGCCATTTTCACCTTAGTTCTTTACAGAACCAAAATCAAAAGCCTACTACAGTCCAAGTATAAAGAGGAGCTCAAATCCTTAACTAGTCCCTTCATATAGCAGAATCCCCAAGGTCATGCCTGAACATTTACTTCAAAAACCTCTTTTACTTTACAAATCATAGCTATTGAAGGCTAAAGAAAAATAAAGCACAACATCACTTTTGGAATTTTGCAAGCATCAAAGTTACAATATGCTAATGGCACTAAAGACATGAATGTACCATGATTATCCAGTATTCTCCCAGAACTTTGCACGAATTTTGCTAGTCTCTAACTGACATAACGCTAATGATATATTAGATTACAAATAAGAAATGCAAGCACCACTTACCAACAGATGGAGAATCGGATTTTTCCCCATTGACAGCTGGTTGACTATTGATAGTCAGGAATCCCTTCAAGTTGATCTTGCCCAGCTGTTCATTAATGATTTTAGTCTCTGGCTGAAGGCCATCTAGTTCCGACCAGGGACTACTTTTCAACTTCCCAAGGCAGTATACCTTGAATTTCTGATAATGAAAAGTTCCACATGATTGGGTTAAAAGGTTAAAAAAAAAAAAAGAAGCTAAAAGTAACTAGAAATGGAAAAGAGAAAACACAAAGCAACCATGGATGGAAACTCTACCTCATATATATCCTCAACACTTTTCAAGGGGGCAGCCCACTCTTCAAGAAGTTTCTTGCCACGTGCCCGGGGTCGCATAAACTGTATTGAAAAATTATAACTTGCATCGTATTAACAAAAAAATAATATACATATCTCTAGACTGCATTTTATTAAAGCAAAGGAATAGAGGGCAATTACAAACACAAGTAATCAAAGCTTGGGTCCTCATCTAGAATTTATGCAAGGGAAAAAAAAACAAGAAAAAGAAAAGGCAAAGCAAAAGGGCTCTCTTCATTTCTGTTCCATCCATTCTCACCCTTAGCTTTTTCCATTCCATAGACATTATCCTTGCAGCCTTCAGAGAATATCCGCTTTCAAGCATGAAAATAACTCTTATCTTGGATGCCAATCCCCTATTAACAATGCACCCTATAACAGGTTTGAGATGAAACTAAGAGAAGCAATCATGCTAGTTATTAGGTTATTTTTAAGTACGATCTGTACATCATAGTACTCTTACAGCATTCTATCCCATTTATTTTTGGAGCAAAAGGAACTATATAGAGTTGTCCTGTTTCTCTTGCAGGACCCACAGAAATTCTGCCTGTGCAACTTTATGTTTACCAAAGCAAAACATATCTGTCAAAAGTGATTTTTTTTTTTTTTAATACAGGATGTCTGATAGCCAGAACATTTCTATGGTATACAAGGGAGTAACTGATGCGTACTCATTATTTAGAAATTATTTAAAAGTAGATGAAGCTTCAAGAGCCACAAAATTGTGATTTAATCATGTGTGTTCTCCTTGCAAGGTTTCTTATAGTGGTTGGCAGTGCATTTTGGGTTGTTAAAATATGCATCCATATACCTAACATTCTACATCGTTAGAATGAAAAGAAAACTTTGCAAACTTGTTAGTTATTGCTTCAACAAACTAGATTGCAAGTGATTAAATTGCACTGGATAACTTTGAAAAGAGCAAAAAAATCCTAAAAGGAAGAAACTACAGAACCGAGTTCAGTAAGCCTCAGCACCTGATAGTCAGATAAAGCACCATAGGATGGATTGCGAGAATCACCCCATCGGCCGTGAGGGTACTGGTCCCAACCTATTGTCCTCGTTAGGTAGCTCTTTGGACGATTAGCCCTTCAATCATCAGCAATAAGTGTCAAATGTATAGGAAAAGGAAAGCAATAATAAAGGAAAAATAAATAATGCATCTCCAATCAAACTGAATCTGCACAAAAGAAAATATGGAATTTGAGACGAATTACATACCAAAATATCGGACGGACATCTTCTTTTACACGGAAAACATTTGTCGGGGGGCGCCATGGTAATGGCCTTGTAATCTTGGACTCTTCAATCAAACCAAGATTCTGCCATTGTAAGTCTGCTATCAGATGCAATCATAGGTAATACTAAGAGCATTTAAAGGAAAACTAATGAAATGGAAAACAGAAGAAAACCATTAATATAGCTAAAGCAGATTTCTCCATGTTCAGAGTATAGAGATGCAACGTCTTGATTCCATGAGCTAAAATCTTCTTGCACATTTCAGTTCCAAGGTGAATCCCATAGGCTCTGACAGCTTCTTCATTATCCTTGATAGGCTCCAATGCCGCAGTAACCTCGGCTGGTACCTAAATTAAGAAATGAAACAAGGCGTTGACTATGAATTCGTTATCATTTGCATGATTGTTTCATTTGTTTCAAACAGGGAGAAAACAAGGGAAGATAGCACAACAGTAACATATATACCTTGGTTTTGCAAAAACCAGTCATACGTATAAAGCCCTTGTAGTTATTAATAGGCATAATACCAGGGACAATGGGACAAGTGATTCCGATTTGGCGGCAGTCATTCACAAATTTCAAGAAAATATCAGTATCATAAAAAAGTTGAGTAACAATTAGATCAGCCCCAGCATCCACCTAGAAATTAAAAAAAAGGCATTAATTAAATAAATAAACTAATAGTTAGATTCATAAAGATAATTAAAGAAAGGAAAACTAAGGACCTTCTGCTTCAAATAAGCAAGATCTTTATGGTAATCCTCAAGCGTAGCAAATCCATCACTTCCAATCACATCAGGATGTGCCTCTAAATTTGATTAACAGAGAATTAATTAAAGAGCTGGATCTGGTTTGAAATAATTTGAGATCATTTCGAAAATTTAATTTAACGAAAAGAGAAGGGAAAGTAGAGGGAAGGATGAAGAACCTGGATAGCCAGCGACAGTAATGCCGAAGTAATCACCATATTTGGATCTGATATGTTTGACCTGCATTACAAAGAAACACAAAGAATAAGAAGGATTGATTTCGATTCTTGTTGATAAAAAAAGAAAAATGGAATGGAACGGAATGAAAAGAGGTTCTAACGAGGTCGAGAGCGCAAGCGAGGCCGCCTTGGATCTGGACGAATTTATCCTGACCATGAGGAGGATCACCACGAAGAGCAAGAACATTCTGGATTCCATTGGATTTGATGGTTTCGAGGGCGTGATCGATCTTCTCAACGGGCATGTTGGTGCAGGTGAGATGCATCATAGTCTCGACACAGATGATGTTCTGCATCTTGTTGGCGATGTCTAAGGTCAGATCTGCGGTGGACCCACCAGCACCCCAAGTGATGTCACAGAAGGAAGGATTGTGAGAGACCATCCTGTCCATTCTCTCGAACAGGTTGTCCACTCCATCATCGGTCTTTGGAGGAAAGAATTCGAAGGAGAAAACAACCTTGTTATTGCTGCAGCTATCTCCTCCATTTCCATTGGCATTTGAATCTCCCGCTGCTGCTGCCGCCCTTATCTTATCAATAACCTTCATTCTCTGTTTCTTGACAAGTGCCAAGGGGGAGGGAGAGAGGATCGCAGATAGAATGAAAGAGTTAAGAGCAAACCCGCACCGACAAGGAGCAGTTGTAGTTGTAGTTCATTGATTTTATTTTTTTTCTATTTATAAACAGAGAGAGATGAGATGCAGCCACCAACCCCGTCGCCCCAAGCCAGCCGAGGAATTGCACTCCCACGCCAGCTCCTCCTATACCACATCCCCAGTTGTTGTTGTTAGTATTATTATTGTAGTCTATTCATTGATCAATGCACTTGTTTATTTATTATTTATTTGGTGATATAACGCATAGAATCTTCCGCTTTAAAACACATTTTTTCAGACTTGAAAAATACTTTATACGATCTTACTGTGATGGTAATTCATCATGTCCCCGTGGATTTATACATTTCTGTCCAATAAAATAAAAAAAGAAGCAGAATTAATTTTCTTTTTGGTAATTAAAGAGTGATGGTCAGTACATTTATTCGGGTCACATTCCCAGAAGCGGCTAAAATTGTTAATGTACCGTAGCGTGTGTGTGTTCGTGTGTATGTATGGAGCCTGCCTCGGGTTTGAACGAGCAGGGAGGTTGACTTAAAGGATGAAACTCCATGGCTTTTTATGATTTAAATTATTACCGAGAATCTATTATTTACTGCATACAAAAAGGGAGATAATTCAATATTTCTCTAACGCTGTATGGAACTCCCTTGCAACAACCGTCTTTTCTCCATACAAAACTCGATTGAGGGGATCAAAAAATGCCCGCCAGGGCTCGTTGACAGTCCCGTATCTTGTTCCATGGGCTAAGCTCAAGTATCTGATGCATTAAACTTGAACTTGGGGTCCGAAATGAAAAGAGGAAAGAAAAAGAAGGGTTGTTTGGTGAAATTGCATCCACTTGTCACCATCCCCTCCTACTCCCACCGTCCCCACCCCAAGACCATGGGGGAAATGGTGGCTTCGGGGAGGTTGGGATGGATCGGGTTGGTGGGAGGGGCCCCACCAGACCTACCCCCATTCCCCCCTCATCGCCAATTCCTCGCTGCACAACCACAGCCGAGTAAAATATCTTTCAAGCGGCACGTGCTTTGCTTCTGTCGTATTAGCTAGGACCCAAACCTACAATTTGTCAACATCATCTGCAAAACACAAATCAGTAAAAATGTTTCTGAGGGCAGTACAGTTCACAACATCAAATCAAATCAACGTAACTCTCTAAATATCAAGAAAGTGTTTATCTTGGTTCTGTTTCTTGGTTGAACTCAGTCCTGATTCTAATGACAAAAGGCAGAGCCAGATGACATGAGCTGTCTTGTTACCTCATGCAAAGCACACACGCAAGAGTGATCATTCAACCACCAATTCCCTTGCAGGGTCGGCCCACTCTCACCAGTCTCTTGCTCCACGACTCCACTGTGGTAGTCACAGCAAAGCAAGCCACAGAGGAAGAGCCCCATCGGCATAATGTTCTTACCCGATAATAATCCTCCATCTCAGAGTTCCTTATTTTTCAAAGAAAACTAAAACCGAAAAAATATATTCCATACAACATTCTGCTAAATGTAAACCCTGTGCAATCAAATATTGTTTTATTGGAGCACAGAACTAGCTCATACACTCGGTGCAACATCTATGCAAATATGTCAGGTTAAGTCAAGCGCTACATCTGTCCACCATTATTACCTGCAATCCTGCGATGAAGAAAACAATAGCATCAGGTTATAGCATTTCGTCTCATCAGCAATCCTTTATTTAAGAAAAATCACAGCTACTCAACCTGGAATTAAATCACAAAGTTACGAATTCCCAATCTTCTTTCGACATGTCAAGAAATTTAACAGTGCCATCTTCAAACATGATCTGCAAGAAAATAAATGAAATCAGAAATGATGACGACACTCAGTTTACATAACATTAACCTAATAAAGAGCTCTTCTTACCGAGTGTTTTCTGGAATACTCATCATACCGTTTAATAATCCCAAAATATCTGTAAAATCAAAGCATGAAAAATAAAAATAATTAATAGACCGTATTGTCAAAGAACTATCTCAACTTAAAAACTTAAGTTATTAGGTAAGATTCTAAGATATAATTTATATTATTCTCTAACACACCCCCTCAAGTGAAAGTTATTCGGACTTGAAACTTGCATAGGCTCACATTACCTTATGCATGATTTTTATCAAATAAATAGCGGTGGTGAGATTCAAACTCATAACCACTTAGTCATCAAAACTCTGATACCATGTCAAAAAACCATCTCACCTAAAAGCTTAAGCTGTTAGGTGAAATTCTAAGATATAATTTATATTATTTTCTAACACAAACTATTAGATCTCTTTTTTTTTATTGAACCTATGAATGAGAGTTCATGAACTGAGGAAAAAAAACCATTTCTGCATGAAAGCCTGAGCAATAAGTAGCCTTCTAAACATACATCTGATCAGTGCGACTAGATACTCTAACCACTTCGCCAATGCAATTACAGGAGTATGATGGTAGACTATTGAAAGCATGTTGCGAACTCCCTGAGATGGAATGAACAACAACAAAGGAATCACATTCAGATAACAATATTGCAGAATTTTGCAGCCGTTAAATTAACAAAACAAGGTAACATTCTGAAGGAAACTTCCTTACCTATGTGCAAACCTCCATTCTGGTAAACCTTCAAAAATAACAATACCAGTATCAGTCTGCTTTGCATAAATATAAGCACATAATGTGCAGAAAAAAAAAAGAACAGAAAAGAGGGGAACACATAAGTGTAAAACCATACATAAAACCATCACATATACATACATCTTTTCCAGACAGCATTGCTTGCAGTTTGGGAGAGGATACAGCCACCTGGCATGCTACTAGTTTTAATGCAGCATCTGAAGACATTTTAGGCTTGCTCGGTTTAACCCCTAGCTTTTTCCTGCAGCCTGAGGCACCACAGTGGCAATCTTGATCTGCACCAAATTGGACAAACCTGCTAAATTTATTAGATTGGACTAAGTATAGATTTTGAAACAACAAAAAAAACCAAATGTTTAAGAATGCTCACTGTGCAAGCAATAAAAGACTCATCCATAATTAAAGAAAGCAAAAGAGTCGATGCAAGCACTCATACTGATAATCATATGTCAGATGCTCGCCCTTTCTTATGTCATGTGTTGCAAATATGCCAATTCTAGTCTCGCCATCAATTATCCTTCAAGAAAAGAGATAAATAAATTAAGATTGTCTAAAACATGTAAGACTGTAATGTTGACTAATATGATTAAAGTGAGGAATAAGGGTCAATGGAGAACCATTTCTGCATCTCGGTATTAGGAGAACAACTGTGGTTTATATATCTTGACTTGTTTCCCTTGTAAGTAGCATCAATTACCATATTGCGATTGATTTCACACAAGTAAAAGTTTGTTTCCCCGCGGTGTTTCATCTTCCAAAGCCTTTCCTCACATGTATTATCATCAATAACTGCATTAAATAATAGTTTAAGTATTAATTAATAGGTTTCCAAAATGATGAAACATCAACTTGTCTTATATGAAATTTCAATTGAATACCAAGCAGGGACTAGAGACATCACCTTCTCCAACATACTCTATTACAAACTCTCCTTGTTTAATATCTTCATCTGCCACAATTCCAGATCCACATTTCTCGGTCTACAAACAATACCTTCTTAACTTCATATTTTGAGTGCACAAAGCATATGAAAAGTGAACAGAAACCAAAGCACTATGACATTTGAACATCCAATAAACTGTGGATAAAAATTCTTAAGAAGATGAGAGGAATTATCTTCCAGGTCCACAATCCATAGCCTAAATAACAATATCCAAGATAAAGAGCAGAAAGACAGAGACAGAAAAGTCATGTACTTGTACCAAAAAGATCCTTGTGGTTCTTTTATCCTTAATACAAGTATCATTTTCAATGCCCTTCATCCTTGATTAATATAGTCCTTCTACTCTACATATTAACTAAGACAAATAAAAGCCACAGAAATATACCTGCACTAATTTCATCTTCTTCAGTGGTCGGTGCTGGAATGGTTTGTTGCTGCATGAACTCCCACATTTGCAGCCTGAAGAGCAGCTAGACAGCAGCATCCTTGGAGATAATAAAAGTAATGATAAGAGTTTTTAAACTATTAAAGAAGCTTCCAAATATATTAGAAACTCAACAACAATAATAAAAACATAAGACACATATAAAGCTACAAGAAATCCTATTAACCACACACTCCAATTATTGAAGACAAGGAGTGGATAAAAAGAAGGGGCATGACTAATTGTTAGACAATAATTGCTATTAAAGAAGCTCCCAGAGAATGAAAACAACTAACAATAACAATTACATAAATGCTGCATGACATCATCTTAATCATTCAGCTCCAACTACCAAAGACAAGGCATCGGGTGACAGTGAACATGATCATGGACATGTTCCCAGGTGATTGTTAGTCACTATGAATTTCAGACAACTGCTTTTAAATTAAATGATCTCACCATGATAATTATTCATTCAGATTCACATGCATGACAGACACTCCAGTATCAACTCTAGATTTAGGCAGGGTTACGCACATGTTTCACAGAAAATCAAACTCAAGTATAAACCTATTTCAACCAATCAGATCATCCTGCTCTGACAATTAACAAACATCAAATTTAACTATAAACTTATTTTGACATCTTGATAAGCAACGGAGCCAAACCGCAAATATGCACTGAGCAAGGATATCAATGTACACCATGAACATTTATTGCATTGGCTAAAGCTTGGTTCAAGTTAGGCACTAGTCAATGGCCAGGAGCTCTGACTTGTCTATGTGCACAGGGCCAGACTCAACTTTAAGTATTGGAGGGGACAAGAGGCTAAATTACTATTTTGAGGGGATCATTATGCAAAGATAACACCATAAAATTATCTTTGACTGCTAGAAATAGTATATATTTCGTCTTCGAGATGGGGAGCCCAGGGGCCCCTTGAACCCCTGTATCTCCCTGCATGTAAATGTTCTGAACAGTAACTCATGTGAGATCAGCTAATAAAGTAGAAAGTGGCGGACACCAAAAACTCATCATAATAGGGACGGAGTACTAGAACATGGCCAAAGAATTAAGAACAAGTTACAAAGGCAATCTGACCAAGGAGTAGCATCTCCAGAAATCAATCATGTACAACGCAATAAGGCATAAAAATAAATGAGTAGACTGAAAATAAAGTTGAAGCCAGTAAAATTATATCAAACTAACATGCTATAAGGTGAGACTCGGTTATGAACCGTATATGGCATGAAAATTTATCATATATAACGCAGAGAAACCATGACATTGAAGGCCCCCTCTTACCCACAATGGCAATCTCTATCACACACACGAGAGGAACCCAGTGATGCACTGCAGGAGCAGAATATGCCATCATCCTCAAGGCGCCTTTTAATCTTCTTGGTGAGATATATATCTTGAAAGTGTCGATCAAGAAAAGCAAATGTGGTATGTTTATACATGGAGATAGAGATAGAAAGAGAGAACCCAGTGCTATAAAAGCACAAGGACATATGATATCAGCTTCAATTCCGATCAATGAAATGTCTACTGAAGCAATGCAGAGTCCACAAAAGGAATATTCAAACAATGGAAGGGAAAGCAAAACATCATAACAGCTTTCTAAGCCAAAAAATCAACACTAAAACTGTAACCCCCATAAAATGGCTTTATAAAGTAAGATATTTTGAGTGGATACTTCGCTTTATGAGGGTGTAGGCTGTAGACTTTGATTTATTAAATGCATCGGGAAGCTCAAACTCAACTTGATTTCCTATCTCCTTCAGCAACTTGTTGAATGCAAGGGTGATCCGTTGATCAAGATTCTAATGAACATAAGAAACAGCAAAAAGCACCGTCTCGGTGAGTTTATCAAAGTAACACCCTAGAATCAGATCAACCCAATGTCGTAACATCAGAGAAGGATAAGTACATAAGGAATTAGCTGAAAGAGCATTGTCATCTTAAAGTAAGTTGTAAAGCAAAAAAACCAGGCTGAAACATTCTAAAATTGCAAGGTAATTAATCTCATGAAAGAAAGAAACAGGATCCTATGAGAGGTAGGTATGAGATAAACGATTACATGTCTAAGACATGAGAACAGAAACATTGAGAAGAAAAGGAGAGCATATGCAGTCGAATTTTAGTGAATAAGAATTTCAGAAGAGAGCAATGTCACATTAGTATAGCAAGATGGCGTTGCTGCTGCTAAAACTATATCCATGAAAGAACAATTTGTTAAAAAGGAAGACTCGAGCCAGTCACCTATAAAATCCAACATCCCATATGTATAATCTTCACTGATGAACTATAAAGAAGTAAGAAGAGAGAATTGAAAACTAGGTCAAATTTGAATGTCAAGCTAAAAAAAAAAGAAAATAGAAAGAAGAGCAGAGTAACCTTCTTCGCAGCAGGCATGGCTTCCAGTAGCATAAGCTTGCAGAATACCAATCATAAGGGATACTACAGTGAGTCAGCAACAAAAGATATCCATTGAAAAGACTTGAAAAGAGAGAGAGAGATAAAAAAGAATTGATGATAATAAAAGGAAATGGGCGTAAAGATTCTCAAAGGGTGGAAGGCAGAATCAACTGAGTTGTAGTTGGAAAAAATAAAAACCTAGAAATCAAACACCAGGAACAGACACTGTGAATTCTTTCTCAGTCCACAAAAGATGTTCGTAAGGCAAGGAAGGGCAGTTCAAAGATTGAATTCATTTCACTGAATTCTTAGGAAACCAGTTACCAAACAAAGAATGTTTTTAGTGAATAGATCTCATCTGGTGTGGTGTCAGCAAGCGAAGAAGAAAAGATTGCTTTGTTTTAATGGATAAAAAAAGGGAGGAATGAGAGGAATATGAGAGGCAAGAGTGTGGGTGTGTGTGTGTGTGTGTGTGTGTGTTGTGGCTTACCAGGGGAAGTGAAGAGAGCAGATCTCTCTTCTTCTTCCTCTTGTGCTTGCTGAGCGAGCGAGGGAAGTTGCTTTTTTCTCCCCCTCGCCCTGACAATATTTTACTGCCTGACTCACTTACAAACGGATGTGTGATATGACAATAAAATCAATAAAAACAAACGAACAGAGAAGGAAAAGTAAAGAAAGGAAGGAGGAGCGCTTGTTTTTGAATTTTAATTTTCTTTTTCCCGTTTATAAAAAATAAAAAAATAAAATGAAAGTTGATGTTGTAATAACGACACAAATTAGTAGCGAGTGTAAGAGAAAGCGAAAAGTGTATCCATCCTGTTGACGGGGCTGGGCCCATAGCTTGGATTTTGTAAGAAGAGAAGAAAAGGGCCAACCCGAAAGAAAGAGAGGCCCGAGACTCCGCTGGAAAATGCTACGGCAGAGCAGAGAGCTTTTACGGGTTTAAAAATATAGTTGTGATTATTTTTAAAATATTTTTTATTTAAAAATATATATTAATAATTTTTTTATTTTTAAAAATTATTTTTAAAATTAATAAATATTAAAGCAGTAATGATCTCTCACATAACACACAAGTTGTGATTGAAATTCAAAACGACAAAACCAGTAATAATTATTATTGCTATTATGCTCCCTACGGACCCTACCCCATCATAATCATTGGGGGAAGAGTAAAATAATAAATAAATAAATAAATAAAATATTGAATAATTCCACATTTAGTTCGTTTTCGTCCTCGAGATTTACACGTAAAAAGAAAGAAGACAGGAATTCCTCCTCGATCAAACAAGAAAAGAAAGAACAAGCGGAAGTCGAGCACGAGTAGAAGAACTAGAAGAAGAGGCTGTTAAATTAAAATAAATAAATAATCAAATTTGTTTCACGTTTGATAGCTTGCGTGTCCCTCCCCTCTCCTCTCAAACTCTGAAACACAAGCCAAGCAAAGGAGACTCCTCTCTCCCTTTCCTCGCCGAAATCAATCTCGAATCGAATCGGTTCAGGTATCGATTCTCTCTCTCTCTCTCTCGCTGTGTATGTGTTTAACTGTTGATAAATAGAATTAATCATGGTCTTATTATTAACGCACTGCTTTCTTGATTTGGTTTAGGGTTTGTATATGTATATCTCTGAATAGATTAGTTAATATATTTTAATTTGTTGCAATTTTTTTTAGAATATAAGACTGTGTCGTCGAGCATAGGTCGATCAGTATTATCTCGATGGTATGAGCTTCTTTTAAATGAATGATTGATTGATTGATTTAATTACTTAATTAAATTTCTTTTTATTAATAAAAAAATGAATTATAGGCAACCATCAATCCGATTTTCAGACCTTTGATCACTGTCTACTAGTGAATAAATCTCTAATTCGTTGCATTTTTTGTGTTGCTCAGCCACATAAACTGTGTTTCTCTTTGGATTCTTGACAACACTCTGGTTGTGTCTATGAGACCTTTCGATTGCTCCATGCTGCTCGATGAGTAGGTAATGAAGGGTTTTCGTGAAAGGGGGTTTGTTGCTTCTGCCAAATCTTCATCTACAGTTGAATCCCCAAATAGATCTTTCACTTCTGATTCTTCAGAACTGGGGTCCGCCGACACTAAGATTTCCAGGCCTTCTTTATGGTCAACCTTCTTTGCATCAGCTTTCTCTGTCTTTGATACGCATTGCGATTCATCTTCAACTAGTGAAAAAAAAGCACCTCATATTAGACATGGTAATGGTTGGACGTCAGCTGTGAAGAAAATTTTGGCAGGTGGCTCAATGAGGAGGATCCAAGAGTGTGTATTAGGGACAAGCAAGACAGGGATTTCTAACATAACTAGTGACATTTGGCTCCTAGGAGCATGCTACAAGATTTCACAAGATAATTCTTCTGGGGATGCTACTGCTACCAATGCTTTAGCTGCCTTTAATCATGATTTTTCTTCACGAATTCTAATCACATATAGAAAAGGTTTGTGTAATGACTTTTCATCCATTTCAGCGTATCTTTAAGTAAAGCTTTAGCAAGCATAATAATCATAACTATGGGGAGCTGTCTTAAAATTGTTCATTTATAGGGTTTGATGCTATTGAAGATTCAAAACTTACCAGTGATGTAAGCTGGGGTTGTATGCTTCGGAGTAGTCAGATGCTTGTTGCTCAGGTATACTGCTGCTGCTGCTGCTGCATTTCTCACATCAATACTCTCTTCTATGATAGTTCAATCATTTCAGTTAACCTTCCAGCCCTTGGTCCTTATATGTTTTGTTATGATGCTTGCCTTCCAGTTAATTGGTGAATTCTCATTTCTGACTCTGCAGGCTTTGCTTTTTCATCGATTAGGGAGATCTTGGAGAAAACCATTGGACAAGGTGAACTTGTGGATTTTCAATTTTAATGAATTCGTTTTTTCCCACCATTCAACTATGAATCACCAAAAAAAAAAACACAGAGAGAGAGAGAGAGATCTTGTAGCACTATCATGGATTACTTTTCATCCTCCCAATTTAATTATGCAGCCATTGGATCGAGAATATGTTGAGATTTTACATCTTTTTGGTGATTCGGAGTCATCGGCTTTCTCTATTCATAATCTTCTCCGGGCTGGAAAGGCTTATGGCCTTGCAGCTGGGTCATGGGTAGGCCCTTATGCAGTGTGCCACTCTTGGGAATCTCTGGTCCGCTCTAGAAGAGAGGAAACCAATCTTGAATACCGGTCACTTTCAATGGCTGTTTATGTTGTTTCTGGTTCTGAAGATGGGGAGCGAGGGGGAGCTCCAGTTCTCTGCATTGAAGAAGCTGCTAGACATTGTTCAGAGTGTTCTAAAGGTCAAGAAGATTGGATGCCAATTCTTCTATTGGTTCCTTTGGTTCTTGGGCTTGATAAAATAAATCCAAGGTTTGTGATCATGTTCTACACCTACTTTCATATTGAAATAATTGTTGCTTTAGCTGAGAAATCGATTTGCTTTGTGTGTTGGTTTGGTTAGGTCTAATTTGCTGCTTTCATAGAGATTAGATAAAGGAGCATCCATTGCATTCATGAACTGTGATGTTGTGTTTCATCATTTAAGGGGAGGGGATAGTTGAATATTTTGTACCTTACTGGAGCCTTTTTAATTTTCCAGGAAAATATAATGATTCTTTTTATACCTGGTAGGCTGGATGCAAATGTTTCTGGGAAGCCTTTGATAGAAATGACATGGGGCAATTAATGTGAGAAACTAAATACCATTGTCTTAACTAACTTTCACAAATAAATACCTAGACTTTGGAACCTGGGGATGTTGAGCATTTATAAGCTAGAAGAAGTTTACAGTCAAACCTTTTACCTAGTGATTGGCTGAAAAATGTATACCCTAATTTCCATTTTTTCTACATATTAATGGGGTGCTTCTCCTATTGGAAAAGTAACAATGGTGCATTGAGAAAATAGATTTTGGTTTAGGGATATTCCCATTTTTATAGTGGAGAGCTTCAATTGGATGATCCTGTTTGTCTTGTGTAAGGCAGTTTTGCATTTGGTTGCCCAACATTCCTGTGGGGAATGGGGAAATGTATCATATGATTCACATTAAAAACAAATAACGAAATTACTTCTTATTTCACTGCTCCCTGATTCTCTTAGCATAACATAACTTTAGACATCTATTTAAAGTACTGTCATATTTTATTTGTTAACCAGTTGGAATTTAACCTGTTCTCAGGTATATTCCATCCCTGCAAGCAACATTCACCTTTCCCCAAAGCCTTGGAATTTTGGGTGGGAAACCCGGTGCTTCAACATATATTGTTGGTGTGCAGGACAAGAATGCTTTTTATCTTGATCCACATGAAGTTCAGCCGGTAAATCTTAATTCTTTCTGATTTATTTGTCATCACATTGTTGATGACTAATTTATTCATTCCTATGTCATTCTGTAGTCTATGGCCCTGATTTTGTACTCTCTCTTTTTTTTTTTTACTTCATTTATCCTCTCATAGTGATGATTTACCAGAAATTGAATCTATATACCTGACATGAGTTTTTCTTCTGTTGAATGAAATGATAGAGATGCCTCCTTTAGTTTCAAGATGAAACATGACCACCACATGGCTGTGCCACCTGTACAGATAGGTCAAGCTGGTGGGTGCACTAAAGGGAAGTCGAATCAATTGCATCCCTTTTTCTGCAGTTGATTTTGACTGCTTGCTGGTATTTGCCCTCCAAGCATGACAAAAAGAAAATTGGGAATCACTTCAATTCAGAACAAGAACTTAAACAAATTGAAATAGGGTACATGAAACAAGAGAGAGAAACAATTGAGGAACATGCATTTTATCCTAAAATGGAAAGGACGGTGTAGATATGAATCTGAAAGGTAGTGGAAGTCAGAAAAGGGTCTAAAAGTCTTAAGAAACCAATTTTTGGTTTAGAAAATGTAATCCAAAAATGGCACCTTATATCTCTTCAAAGCGTAAGGGATAATACAATTATCTTCAAGAACAAAATGTTTATTAAAGTCTATAACAGGCTCCTATTACTGTGGATCTAATGTTAACTTGGTGCTTGCATGATAAAAACACTCTAGGGAAATAGTAGTCCGATGGAGGATTTTTATGAATATTTATTCTAGGAAGTTGGAAGATGTTATTCTATGCTATTTGGTGAATCTATTTATTTTAGATTATTAAGATATTTAGAATTAATCAGGGATTTTATTTTGTTTTGGACTTTATTATCTCTATTTCATTTTAGGTTTTCATTAGGGTTTAGGACTTTATATAGGCATCAAATATACTATTTTAAGGTAAGCTGGAACGGTTATTGATAATTTGATTTATTTTATTTTTTTCCATATGTCGGTTCAACTGTCTTTATCTCCTCCCTCTTCCTCTGCTCCTTTCTTCCCGTGTCTCCTTCCTATTTCCCCTCTTGTATCCATGCCCTACATCATTGTCAAATGCGCCACACCCTCTTTTCATTTGGCATTTGCATGAGTCACAAAATTCTCCTCTTCCAATCCTGCAATATCGATCATTTAGAACTTTCTGAACCTCCACGAGTTGTTTGCTAAGATTATTGAGACAAGCATTTGTTTCCGTCCCAAACTGATTTCTCTTGCACGTCTTTGTTCCCTGTTCTCTTTTCGTTTCTGTCTAATTGTACCAAGCTGAATAGTGATATTGTTGCTTACTTTCCATCAATTCAGTTGATTGAGCTCATGTTAATATTTTGATGATATTCTTGCTGGTG